TGGGCCGACAAGGCCATCATAACTACTACAGCTGACAAACCAACAAAATATACATACAAGCCCAACATACTGCACTAACTGACAGGATATGTCTACAAGCCTCTACTGATGGATGTACTGTGATCGGAACAGGACCTCGACCTACCCATAACATATTACATAAGATGTACACAAAACTCTAGACCCGGAAACTCCGAAGGACGTGGAGCTTACCGATCAGGCTGAACTCGGGCAACACCTACTGAGGAGGTCCACCCGTCTGTCTGTCTGAACCTGCACACATGAAATGCAGCGCCCCCAGAAAAGGGACGTTAGTACGAAATAATGTACCGAGTATGTAAGGCAATAAAATAACTGAAAGTTGAAATTGAACAGATAATATGATAACTGAAAGTAACTGGGAGTCAAAGATGATCTGGAGATATACTTACTTGCTGATACTGACTCAACTCTCTCAATATAGTAAGTAAAATAAATGTCTGGCCCTATAAGGCTCGGAACGTGTAACTGCTCTGCCGTAGTAGGCTCGCCCATAGGCGCTCGGCCATACTAGGCTATGTTTCTCGGCCATTCTGGGCTCGCTCATAGGCGCTCGGCCACAGTAGGCTCGGTATATAACTTACCATCTGATCAAAGGTTGCCCAATAGGGGCCTGCCCAACGATTATAGCTCGATGGTGGTGAAAATACTGTAATATTGTATATATATATATATATACCCTCTTCTTTCTTGACTGAATAAAGACAAAACTAAACTGAATATGAAGTCCTGATAAGGGAGAATACTGTAACTTATGAGACTGGGATAGTGTATATAAATTCGGGAGTATGAACTTCTCTTTATGCCTCGTTATCAAACACATGTAATTACGAGATCATACCAAAATGAAGGAAGAGCTTAGCCTTAACATACCTTATCACAATCTTTCCAATCACCAAGTTGAACTCACCTCTTCGCGCCTTAATCTACAACAACGATAATAATACTATCATTAAGTTACGAAAGGTACAACTATCGCATAACGAACGACAAGCTTATTTTATATTAAAACGAGTAGCATCTCCCCCATAATCCTTAGTTCCTCCAAATTCAAGATAACGCCAATAATACAAGAACACAACTATAACAATATATATACATTATTTTTCAGCCTTATATACACCATCAAATACTACAAAACAGCCCAACACACCTTAATCTCTTCATACACAAAACGACCACCGTAGTAGTGTCAAAGGATCCGGAAATGTTATGACGAACGACCAACCCACCACCCTATATTTATATGGTATTTCTCCACCGCCTTCCTCCTCCAAAACCCCACAAAACAGTAAAACACGCAGCCCAACAGCAATACAAAACAGTCCACAAAATAGTCCGCTACAAGTGAATAACTCGATCTCACGGCTTCCGATCACCTGAGTTCTTACAAGTATAGAAAGACTTACCATGAATTTACAGCAGAAAAAATGGATGAAAGAGAGCAGTAAACTCACCTTATTTGTTAGATAACTCAGCTCCTATCTTGGTTCTTCAAACTCTAGGTTTTACCTCCAATTAGAACTTGAAAGGGAGAGAAAATCAATTAAGGTTTGTGGGAAATTTTTGAGAGGATTTTTGCAGAGCTTATGTCGGGTTATTATGCCCTATTTTCAGTCTCGCAAAAATACCCATATCTCTCTACTCCGATGTCGTATTGACAAACCGTTTAATGCATTAGAAAGTATACTCATAGATCTTCAATTTGATGGGTGGAACACCCCGTAACTCTAAGTATATTGGGAGAAAAGCGCAGTTACATTTGACCAAAATTTTCAGTAAAACTTATGAACGTAACTTGTGATGACTTTCATTGACTTTTGTTCCACAACTCGCTTGACTTCAAAACATAACACACGGCTGTCATACGACTAATATAAATCATAACATAATCTCCTTATCATGTTAAGCACCCTAGTCTCACCCCAAAGGTATATGTTATAACATTCTCAACTTGTCGACTTTCGACGAAATATTGTTTTCTTCAATTCCTTTAACTTTTGAACCTTCCAACTCTCTTTGTACTTGTTGTTCATGATCAAATTAGTTTATATACTTTCAAATATTATCTCATTTTTTTGGTCCTACATTAGTTTTCTTACGACACACTTTTACGTACGAAAATATAGGGTGTAACAGAATAAATGAAAGCAACGCAGTAGCACATCCTCGTCAAAGAAGCATGTCGATGATTTTGATGTCCGAGAAACCTTAATCCATAAGATAGTGATTCCAAAATTCTATTTGTGCCCACAAATCTCCAACACTCATACAGGATGGTAAGAGCAGGTACTCAAAGATCAGGAACAGCTTTGTCATCAAAATTGTTCCTTTCCAGATCCTCCCATGTACACGCCACATGCTGGTTTTAACTAAGAAGAATACTGTTCTCATTCATCCTCATTTCATCCTTAACTCTCTTAATCAATCTACTACTCTTCACTACAGAATAATATGACAAACAAAAGACTAACTAAAATCAGCAGTAAATCTCTTAAACCAGCTTTCCACCTTTCATGCCTCAATCCGTATAATGAGCAAAAGAAATGGGCTTGCTTTACTTTCAGAGTTTTTCCTGTCTCTGACTTTTCTTTTCTCTCGCCCTGGAGGGACAGCGATCGCTCCTTCAGTAGCACGGCTAGAATTTGAAGAACATTTCCACCTATTCAACCAGTTATTCGAGAAGAATACTAAAGGAAAATCCACCTGTATCCTTTACTGTCAATTTTCTAGCAAACAATAGCGTCCACCATGTGCTTGTGTTGACGAAGTTCAGAAAACACTCACCTGAGAAGGGAAGCACCAAGAAAATGAAAAACCAGTCAATGTTTAGATTTCTAAGGGCGTGTGCGAGAGAGAGAAACAGACCGAATGAGAGAGAGAGAATGTAATGTTACATATCCATATAAGGAGAATTGATTGTTACTCTTTATAGTTACACTAGTTTTTGAGCATGCGCGTTGTGTGTGCACCCTTTATCAATAAGTACATAAAATTTAAAACTCACGTAAATTATATTAAGAATTATGTTTGAGTTATCAACTAAACTTAACTAACAACATGCAAAAAATTTAAACGATGAATGTTGATCTTATTTAACTAACTTGACAACGAGAGAAGTAATAGTGAAATTGTATGCCAAAATAATGAATTTAAAAGTACATATAAAATTTTAATTCAAGTAGGAATTTTTGCAATAATTGACAGAAAAGATCACAATGAAATATGAACTCTTTTGTAGAGCGTCACAACATGCTTAATATTTGTTGAACTAAAACGAGCATATTTAACCAATAAAATAAATGCATACTAAAGTATTCAAATAAAATTCACTAGTATTCTCAAAACTCGAATCATAATATTTATAATAAGATATCCATCTTAAGGATACATTCCCACAAGCTAAAGGGACACGCTTGAAATCGTTTTGCAACCCTCTCCATTGGGCATAATTAACAATTGCGCTCTCTTTCCCTGGAACATGGTTTATTAAGCCTTCAGAATTCTTTTGCTTGAGGCAGTAGTGTAATTATGATATTTTGGTTGGGAGATCTAATTTTGGACTCCTGACACCGATAATATTATTATTTCTTTCATTTCTACGTATGCTCTCTCATCATTCTTGATCTGGCCTTTTGCTTCTGCTATCTTTGTCCCCAACTTTCTTTTTAATTCCATGCAAATCCTTAGTTTTCGACTTGGGTATGATACATAGGATGCTTTGAATAAGATTTTTCCAATACTTTGAAGTGAGTACTAAGAGTGTAGATATGTATCTACAATAACTTATATTAACCCTAAGAACATGATGAGATAATTATAGCAGTGTCTCTTAACTTGCACTATAATTTAGATTTACTTAACATGTTGTAATCCATGTTATAAGTTAAACGTCTAATAATGATAGGTAGTAGACGAGGCTAATTCCATTATCTTTATGATTCTTGATAATGTCGTATTTATTATGAAGTATTTTTACAATTTTGTATATCAATATTAAAGGAGTAATGTTCAGTTGAAGGGCAGACTAGTCATTTAGCTTTATATGACCATTTTAGTCTTTTAACTTTGACCTGGGTCTTCATACTTACAATATACTATGATAATTGTCCCAGTTAAGTACATTTTCTGCTCTCAAAACCTTTTTTCATTTTTTATCAAGAAAACCCTTTTCAGACCACATTGCTTCCTCCATTCTTGCACTTACCAGCTGCCATCTTCTCTGTTACGCCATCTCCGAAGTGTAAAACAAACATTCTTAAATAACCAATCAGAAAGTTTATTTACTCTATTAATATTTTAAAACATAAAATAAAAAATTGGATAAACAAAATACTCTCCTATGTTTGAGTACGTTATCAGCTCTTGATTTTACCACTACAAACTCAGGAAGTCTGCTTAGCTTTTAATTTATAATTTGTTAAAAAGATTGTTTTGATGTCATTGATCCGAGCATGAAGTACCAAACGAGCAAAATGGTGGCAAGCTTGATGTTATAATTGTTAGGAACAACCATGCATGACCATCTTCGAGTAATGGGGTGCTGCAGTTGAGTCAACAATGAAGGGTATATTCATTTAAAGAGGAGTGTACAAACTTTTTGGGGGGGCTGTAAAGGACAATGACAGAGATTGGAAGTGACAGGATGTGCAGATCATAAGTGGGACTGATTAATATTCCCATCATTCTCTCCTTCAAATTTTTGAAATTGAAGGACATAATAAGTACTTTGGTTTTATGTGTGGAATATAAAAAACTGGAGTGCAGAGATCAGTTTCCATTCAATATATCAAAGCACAACTAATCCCTTGGTCCAAGGAAATGCATAAATTCTTGCTCTTTCATGATGGCACATTTGACTCCAACAAAATTCGTAGAAGGTGGACAACAAGATTGTCAACAAGCTCTGCAATAAAATGGTGAATGGAATGAAATAGTCTCAGAGGACTCAACAGCTATTATCAGGCCAAGAAGCTTTATCTTTATCTTAGATAATGGAGACAAACACTGTAAGCTACATCTCAGCACTTAAGTATGTTGAGTAACATATTACAGTACAAATGTTCACAATAGAAAATAAGTCATTCTGTTAAGAGCCTCCAGCTTTCAACAACTTTTAACAGACGGAACTCTCCAATTTAGCCTTGATAAATGAGAGTTAGACACACCATTGGTTTTCCCTTAAAACTTTGCAGAGGCCCAAAAATTAATCCTGTAATGATTCTAGCACCTCAAGAACTATTTCAGCTTCATTTACATGCTCCAATCTACACCAAAAGCAATATAAAGCTACACAATTAGACTTAATCTTGTGGCTAGAGCTAGCCTTAACGTTTCTATGTTTGTCCACAGACTGTGAGTGTGCAATATCAACACCTCAATGAAGACAATTTACTATATTCTTTGTCCAATTTAACCAAGTATCATGCAATCCACTAATTAAAAATGTTGCAACCTGCTGCATTTTATTTCTACCTAAATCCATGCAATCCCAAAATGATAAGTTGGGAAAGGATTGATCATAACAGTAGCTCTGCTTTTGATACTTCTGGTCAGCCACTTTTAATTAGGTGGCATAGCCACATCATTTGAACTTTTGGTCATTGTAGCACTGCTCTTACAGTATTTGCCATGTGTGTTTTTAAAGAAAGCAAAAGGTAGAGCATTTCTACTTATTGAGCAGTGGCTGGTAGGATGTTGGGTCCTATTCAAAATTCTTGAGTGTGCTGATTGTTAGGACATCCGACCAGACACTGATCAATCAAGAGAAAGACACTACTTTTGATTGCAACAACAACAAAGAACTACATGGCAAATATTGTAAGAGCAATGCTACACTGACCAAAAGTTCAAACGATGAGGATACGCCACCTAATGATAGTACTTAACAAAACTAGCAGTAACGGCATGTGTGTTAAGTTTATTATGGTTAGAAAGCTGGTGAAACAAGTTGGGCCAAAAAGGAAGTGAAGCTATTGTACTGTATGACTTTAGATCTTCCATCCAAAAGGCCATAACAAGTCCGGCTAACCTTGTTCTTTAACAAAAAGTGCAAACACGATTGAACAGGGTCGTCTTTTTTGAGAAAGATAACAAACTATATTCCATTAGCACAAAGGCAGTGCAAGAGCCATATTTAAAATTCACAAAGAGCACAAAAAGTTATCTAGTTAATCTTACAGGGATTCTATGATGTTTAACAGTGATTCTACTTCTTCTATCAACTCCTCCTTACACCAAAAGTGAAATAGAAGCAAGCAATTCATCTTAATCTTCCGGATATTGTTGCCTATATCTTCAAAACATCTTGAGTTTCTTTCTTTCCAGATGGTCCACCAAACACAAGCTGGAACAGCCACTCCACCATTTCTTGTCTGACCACTCCTTCACAATTATTCCAGCAAGCCAGGAGCTCTCCAGTTGATTTAGGCATGATCCATTTCAACCCTTTTATATTCAAAAAGATTTGCCAAAGTTGATCTATGATCCGACAATGCAAAAAAAGAAAAAATGGATATTACTCTCAGCTTCCCGTCAACATAAGTAGCATCTAGAATGAAGCTGCATTCCCCTTCTCTTCAGATCTCTTGTGTTAGACAAGCATTCTTCAGAACCAGCCAAACAAAACATGTCACTCTGTATGGTATTTTCACCTTCCAGATGTGTTTCCAATGCCACAATCTAGCCTGGTGACCACTATGGTTCAAAGTTGTGTATGCAGATTTCACTGTGAAAGTTCCTTTGCAGTGCTTTAGCCATACCAATCTGTCTTCTTGATCTGTTATACCATGAAATTGCTCCAAAGTCTTGTAAAATTTTGCAAGCCTATTAATCTCTCCGTCATTGATAAACCTTGTGAAGCTTAAATTCCAGCCCTATAGACTCTAGATTTCAGCAACTGTTACATTTTGTTGATGAACCAGGTTGTAAACATCAGGGAAAACCTCTTTAAAAGGTTATGCCCAATCCAGTTGTCATTCCAGAAGGAGGTCTTCACCCCATTTCCCACCTTAATTCATACATTAATAATTAGGTAAGGCCATAAAGTTCTAATAGATCTCCATACACTAACACCATAGGGTAGCTACTTTGGAGCACCAGTGTCCCTCATTCCCATATTTTTCATTGACAACCCTTCTCCATAAAGCCTGTTCCTCCCAGCTGAATCTCCAAAGCCATTTCATGAGTAAGCTCCTATTATGATACCTGAGATTTCTTATGCCCAAGCGCCCCTTCTTTCTTGCTGATGGTGAAAGTTTTCCACTTAACCAACCTTTCTTTTCTCTGTTGCCACGCCATATAAAGTTCCTTCTTAGAGCATTGATTCTCTTTTCAATGTTAGCTGGTAGTGGGAATAAGGACATCATGTAAGTGGGAAGAGAATCAAGCACGCTGTTTGCCAAAATCACCCCCCCCCCCCCCC